AGGTCTTCAATAGTTATCCCTAGTTTACTGTTGAAAAGTCACCAATCATTTTACCTGCACTATTACTTTTGAGCTCTGAGTTGAGCAGTCACTGACTTTTGCAGAAGTCATGTCACATTGCTTTGTTTTGTTGTTTGTTTGTTCCCTCCCAGCATAATATCTTTATTAATTATTTGGGAATTTCATACAATGTACTCAAATCATTCTTGCTTCCTATTCTTCCCAGGTCTACCTCCCAGCCTTGTTCCATCCTCTACCAAAATCACCAAGTCCAATTTCTATTGCTCATATAGTTATTTATATAAGGTCAAATTCCCCAGTGGCCAGACTCTTAAACACAACTCAGTTCTTCCCCACCCCACTCCCACCAGAAACCATCAGTGGTATAGAACTACAGTTCAGCATATTTATCCCAATTTTAAAGTATCCTCTTTAATATTTTTCTCTCTGTATTGTTTCTGGGGGTGGAGTGGTTGTCACAAAAGCTTTCAATGTCTCCCCCTCTTCGCTATGAGCCTGTAGTTAGCCATATCATTGCAAAAGCTTTTCTTACCTGTAGGAGCTGTTGAGAAAATCATGGACTTTCACATGGTATCTGCCAACAGCCTGGGTTATGGTCATCATCATGACTATCAACATGGTTCTATCAGCAGCACAGACCACAGATATTAGCATGTTTTCCATTAACAGCACATACCATGGGCATCAACCTGTCTCTTGGTGGCAAAACAGACCATGGAAGTCTTTTGAGGAAACTTAACCCAAAAATGAACCGTTATTCACATTGGATATCTTGTTTCTCAGAGCCAGGCTGATTGTGCATTTGGGTAGCGTATCTGGAGTCAGAATGAAATGTTTCTTTGTCTACTGTAGCCATGACCCCATACCTTCATTACCACTTCTGTAGTGCCACTTCACAGTGCAAAATGTTCCACTATATTTTACCATGTTTCCTATCTCTCTACTAGACATTTATTTATTAAAGTGGTGTTGGAATCTACAGTGTGTCACAGAATATATTGATTTTCCCAAACTCTTTTACTTTCAAATAATTATTGCAATGAGTCATTTGGCTCAAAGTTTCTGAAACACCAAAAATACTGAATTATCACTAAGACATCTCAGACAATCTGTTTTTGCCCAGAATCAGGCTGATCATGAGGTTGAGTAGTGTTTCTGAGGGCAGGACGTCCATAAGCTCCAGGCCTCGGCATATGACCCAGCACTTGGCACTATCTACCTGACTGGGACCCCAAGCATGGCATTAATCACAGTGGTTCGAATTTCTGCTCCCACAGTGTTGAGGGGGGCAGTGGTGATCCAACCATCCTGGTGGCCCTATTCATCAGCAACATGTTCCTTTATCTGCTGTCTCAGCTGGCCTGTACCCATAAGCACTGCTATGTCACCACTTCTGCTGTTCTCTGCTATATGCACTGCCTTTTCTACCCTCCATATTGAATTCCAAGAAATTACTTTGAAAAGTATTTTCTCAGAAGACCCAATGGTTCAGTTGTTTCAGAGATACTTTATGCTCTTCAGGTTCCCCTTCATCCTCCACTTCTTTGTCTCTTTGTGAACCCTCCATGGTTCTCTGGAGCTTGTAAGTCCCTGTGGGAGCTGGCAGTAGCTGGCATCTTGTATCTCCCTCCTCCTTATATTTTTATGTTTCTTTTCCTTTTCTATGCTAAGATTGTACATATGTTGGTTTAAGCATCTGCTCTACTTTTATTTGTTTTTATCTTATGGAGCAATCAATTCATGAGGGTTTTGTCTTTTATGCCACTCAGAAAATATAAAACAAACTACTATAATATCAACAATGGCAAAACATAAAATTCAGATATATTTAAAATTAAATCAATTAAACTTTTCTAATTGATCTTTAATGGTTATAAAATTGAAAATAACAAGACATATATGCTAAGCTATGAAATTGTTATATATATATATATATATATATATATATATATATATATATATTTATGTGTGTGTGAGTGCAAAGTAAACGTAGGAATACTGAAAGTATTAAGGAAGCAGAGAAAGGAAAACTGGAACACAGAAAATGTTACATAAATTAAAGGAAAATGAGGAGGGATCAAGGTAATGGTATAGAATGGAATGGGAAAGAGCAAAATATTAGGAAAAATTCAAGATATAGAAAACTAATACCAAAAGTATTTTATAGTAATGATAAACTTTGTAGAATAATTAATACATACCAAAATATAAACAAAATCATGAATATTGAAAATAATGAGATTAGATAAAAACTAATAGCAAGAAAATTAAATTAAAATGGTATAATACTGAAAAAGCAAGTAAAAAATTTGGTAAAAGTATGAAAGTAAATATACTTTTAACAACATGAAAAAGTAAAAATGCTGCAAAAATTACAGTCAAAAGGACACAGCAGACCTATAAGGAAATGAAAGTAGAGAAAATGGGGAAAAAAGACAGAAATATTGGAGCAAACTTTAGGTCTCTTGTAACATGAAGACTATCACTATAGGGTGGGCACAAAGTCAGTATACCCTGTGAGCTCTTGTCTCCTTGGGGCTCATGCTGGTGTTGACCCTGGATTGTAAATGTTTCTGATGTGCACCTAACCTATATTCAGTTTAATTGGTTCTCTTTCATTGAGTAAAAGGAACTCTCTGTTGACAAGGTTAGTTTAGACTTCTGTGAGTACAACAGATTGTTTCTTCCTTTTAGAATCTATAGACTATGGCTCTGAAAGTGTCTGATAACTTAGCTAGAGGATGTCTCCCAAATATTCTGGGAGTCTGGGAATGAACTACAGCACCGAGATCTCTACAGATAGAGGAGTTGCCTTTGTCCTTTCATGATTTCCAAAGTGTGAATCAAACATCTGTAGGGATTCACTTTAGATTTCTTGGGCTTGACAACACTGGATAACCAATATGTGGTTCAGAGGTTGATCTGCTGGCTGACCTCCATTTCACTGCTATCACATTCAAGTGTTATATTGCATTGATGAGTTCTGACTGTGTACTTTTTTATTGTAACTGTGCTTCCTGCAGATTGTTCTTTCAGTTTGTAAGTATCTAGCCATCTGCTTTCCACCACTGCTTCCCAGTATTGTTTCTCATCACTGAGCTGTGACAGAATAAATTTAGTCTGCTCAATGTTCTTAGATGATGAGGTAGCTCAGCAGTAACCAATAGGATCAATTTCATGGTAGCAACTAGCTACTACCCTCTACACTGAACTATTCCTTGAAAAACTGACAGTCCTACTCACATTGCCGATGCAGTCCCACTGGAGACAGATAGCCCACACTTTCCCTTTAGCTGTTATTAAACTGTAAAAGAAACAAGAAACTAGCTACCTGAGCACAACTGAAGTGGCTGGGTGGGGAATAAGAGGAAAAGAAATGTGGAAATAAAAGGAAGAAATAGAAGAGAACTGATAAAGACTGTAATGAGCTAGAGAGTGAAACCTAGATTCCCAGAGTACTGTCAAAAAGTCAGGGTTAAGAGTCTCATCCTCTGTGGTAGCAGATGGTAGGCCCATAAGACCTGGGTAAAGGATGTGGTCAGTACAACATAGGCATCGAAATTTCCTGGGATCAGAATTCTGGTGGCAATATGGTACCTCCAGTTGAATCTTCAACCATCAAACAATAGTTTGCCAGTGTTCTGAGTTTCAACCTAGAGCCTGATGCTTAGAAACATGGTACAGTATGGTAGCTTGGGTATTCTGGAACCTTGGACCACAGCATCAACAGGTCCACACAGCCTGTGCAGTACTTGAGCCCACGGGATCAGGTCTGCAGTCAGCATGACTGCAATATTCTTACAAGCTGAAGCAAATGCCATTTCAGCTTGCCAGCAGCCACCATGATATTCAGTCTCCACCTCTGCTATATCCCATGCTCTTTCTTATGTATTTTTCTTAACTCTTTTGTCTCCCCTCATGTTACTGAAAGTTATCAAGAATAGACTGCTACAAAGTAAGAAATGGGCTTATGTAACTCAGGAGAGACACAGGTCAGGAAAGTGTGTCTCAAATCTACATCTTGCCAAAATGATGTTAACTGATGGTGTTTGGACCAATCTCAACCATTTGGTCATTTAATTTATACCAATCATAAGTACTTACCTGAGCCAATTACACCATTATCACTTAATGCCAATCACAATCACCACAACTTGTATTTTGAACGAATCACTGATTCTCATTTTAATAGGAGTCATAGTCATCATTGCACTGGGGAAACTCTCCACCTCTGGTCAAGTGACCAGTCTCTGATCAAGGTGGAAACAATTCTTTGAAGCTTGTGATTGAAAATCAGCTGTTGTCTGTCTCTGACAACCTTCACTGAGGCTTTACATTGGAGAGACATGACAATCAGCTTCCACCTTTTGCATAGTCGTCTGGAGGCATTACGGGTGTTGGCATAAAGCAAATAGAGCTGGCCGCCGGTTGACTTATACACATTTTGCTTAAAGCATTTCAGGCTTCAGGAGAGAAACTGTTCAATAGCTGCTAAATAAGGAGTTAAATGGTTCGATTCACAACATGTTTGCTTGTTTACATGAAACATGAATGTCATGGGGCCAATAATTTATTGTTAAAATTTTTATTATGAACCCTAGTAGTGATTTCAAATTCCAACAGTGCTTTAACATTGTGGGTGTGTGTATGTGTGTGTCCCCAGTCCCCAGTACTTAGTGATAGGAGTCACCTTCTCTTGTCTTAATGCTATATTGCTGTTAGCTTCCGAATTATACACACACACACACACACACTCACACAAACACACACACACACACACACACACACAATTGGGAGAGATTTCTGCTTCTACCTTCAAATGGTCTTGTTAGTACATGGCTAACCACGTGCATTTTAAACATATAATCACATTGATATCGATTGATTCTCTGGTCCTTGGTTCACATTGTGAGTGACGCTGACTTAAAATTCTGGGAAGCATGAGTGTATGTTAACATTATTTAAATTATGTTTTTCAGAAAAATAAGTTCAATTGTATGCGAAGAGCTCAGTGCCTAGGAGCCAATGTCAGCTCTGTGCAGATACAAGGTGATGCTGATTATTTCATCAACCATCTTGGAGTTCCAACTGTGCAGTTTGCTTATGATGACATCAAAACATTAGAGGTAATTGTTCTTATACATGTAAAGTGCTCACCACATGAAGAAGATGTTCAGATTTCATTTTAACATAAGTTTGTATTCATCTTTCATACCAAATAGGTCACTGTTGGGAGGGGCTTCATTGTGAAGTCATCTTGTTGTTCAAGTCTTTGTAAGCCTATTTGAAAAACCAGCCTTTTAAAGAATGTTCAATTCAAGTTAGAAAGATTTACACTGTTACGTTTTCACAGAGAGCTTCCCAAGAAGAAACGTCAGTTGTTGGATTAACATCAAAACACAACTGTAGTCTTCAGTGTTCAGAAGATAAACACAAGGCACATGCAAAAGATTCTCCTCACCTTACCCAGGGGAAAATGCATCTCATATGCTCTGTGTTATGTGAATCTTGTGGATTAAGCTCTTCAGAGTTTTTCAATAGTTTGGCAGCCTGTAAACCTTTTCCAGAAAGAATAATACAAAAACATGATTCACTTTAATTAACATTGGTTCTCTGTTATGGACCTGAGTTCTTCAATATTTCTCAGAATTATGTCACAGTAAACTGCTTCCAGGTAAATCTAAACCTTTTTGAACACATAGTTCATGTACCTGTGAGAGGTTCCAGATTATTCTGCTTCAGAAAATTGTAACATTGACAATACAATGACTGAAAGTAGAGGGAAGTGTACTTTGGTCCTTCAGCATGGATATGTCCAGGAAGAGCATTTACATTGTGTTTGTAGAGTCCCACCTCTAGATATGCAGAATCTTAAATTCTATTAGATTGCTGCAGTGTTTGCTTTCTATGTACTCACAGCCAGAGTTTTCTGTTCCACACTCTTGCTTCCCTGTAGATAGTGATCATTATTCACTTGAACTTTAGGAGAATCATAGTGAGGGGAGAATAATTCTTTAGTAATTTAGGAGTAATATCTTAGATTTACTTGTTTTAAGTTACCATTTTCACCCACTATCTTTATAAACACTAATTTGTATAGCTGTTGTTATTTGTAAGAATATGGGATTGGGGTGTACATGTCAGAGCAGGCATGTACAATTCAGAGGAGAGATTTCAGGAATAGATTTTCTTCTTTCACAGTATAACTTGGGCCTGAGCAAAGGTCGTCAGGGCATGGGGGAAGTATTATATCTGTTAGCTATCATTCTGGCCTTTGTTTACCATATTTAAGAAAATGTATGCACATGTACAGTGTTGATGATATATATATATATATATATATTGCACAAACTCAACATATGTATGTTAATAAATCAATATATTAAGAAATAACATGCCAGGTGATGGTGGCACACGCCTTTAATCCCAGCATTTGGGAAGCAGAGGCAGGCGGATTTCTGAGTTTGAGGCCAGCCTGGTCTACAGAGTGAGTTCCAGGACAGCCCGGGCTATACAGAGAAACCCTGTCTCGAAAAACCAAAAAAAAAAAAAAAAAAAAGCTTTAAAAAAAAGAAATAACATAAATTTTCTTGTTCAATGTCCTTGAATTTCTCTCATCATCACTCAAAATTAGCACTCCTATCTCCTGTCATGCTATCAAGTTGAATGCTCTTATGTGCATGTTACATATTTTGGTTAAATTTTGAGCCATGAATTAGAACATTCTAGCATAGCTGTGAGATTTTAGGAAATTCCTAAAATGGACACTTGCTAGACAAATTATCTAACCTATATGTTATTTTTAAATGAATCATTTTTATTTGCTATAGAGTATACTTTATATGATGTGATGTGAATTTAATGAGATTGTGTATGAGCAAGGCTTAGCTAATTTTGAGCTCATGCTAAAATCTCATCAACCATGAGTCATCGATACTATCAAAATTTCTTGTTAGGATGTAGTGTCCGCAGATTAGTGGGGTATTTCCAAATAACATTTTAGCACACATCTCAGAGGGTGAAGTAAGAGCTGTTCATTGTTAAGATGAACAAAGGTAGAGTTTGAGAACAATCAGGTTGAGGAGAATGTGGGGAAGCAGATGAAAGGAAGCCAATTTGGAAGAAGGTGTAATGAAGCCCCCAGGGAATGCTCTTATCACTGAGGAACTTCTGAAGCCCAAATCACTTATAAAACTGCCTTACTCTGAGGGAGCCAAACAGTTTTCCAAACTATATTTTAAATATACCTAACTCTAACATTCCAAATATTTTTATTACATTTGTTTCTACAAAAGTAATTAGTAGAAAGTCCTCCATACTTTAACAATAAACTACCTTGTCCATGTTGACGTAGTGATGTATTTTAAAAATAGACTTGTCCCTTACAAATTATTATTGCTTATGACGAGATAATTTTGTGTTGAGCTCTCAAAAGAACAGATATTAACCTTTACTTTCTGGGTTAACCTATCATAAATATTTGTACACAGCTATTAAGGATGATTATAAATATTGAAAAGCTTCATGAAGGATATTAAAATATTTTACTATACCAATTACTAAAATAGTCAAGGATATTAGAGCCTTGTCACAAATTTTCTTGGCTTTCAAAATATAATTTTCACATGTAGTCATTAGGTTATTCCCAAGGGTTGGGAAGCAGAAACTCTGTTTCTTAAGATTTTTCATTTTGAAGTCTCATGTGCCTATATCCCTCTATATTTGTATCTAAAAAAAAAAAAGAAAAGAAAAGAAACACAAAATATTTTCCATATTATGTGAATTGCAATTTCCCCTACAGGGTCATGTTTCTCAGTTTGTCACAGTCAGCATGTGGCACTACTATGAAGGCTATGTAGTCCTTAGGAGATCTAGTTTGGTAGGAACACTGGGAGCAGGATGGTACTTTAATTGTTTGTACCCTCTCTTGGCTTCTTGTCCTGTTGCCTTGTAAAGAATCTCTAGAATATTTGCTACCACCATGAACTGTTTGGTACCTTCCCTGATTTTATAGATTGCAATACCTCTAAATCTATGAGAAAAAAAATCTTCCTTTACTTATGTTATTTCTGTTAAATATTAGGTCACAGTGATACATGAACAATCAATGTCACGATTTACTAAGAATTTAAAGTGCTATGTTGTATAGTATATCTAAACTAATTATTAATTACTGACAATAAATTAACCCAATTCATGATAAGGATGAAATGGAATTTAAAGTGAAGCACTTGTAACAAGGTCACAAATATACAGAATAGCCAAAAGGGAAACAAAGCTCATGTCAGACTGATTCTAAACATGTTTTCTACTAGCACACCAAGGAAGCAAGGGGTTTGGTTCATCAGTATGTTTTGTTTGTCATTCCCATTACCAAATTAATCCTTGTTAGAACTGAACTCATTATCAATAAAGTATTTTTGAGTAAAAGCCAAAATTCATAATTCTGTAATTTTTTCCACTTTAAAAACTTCATGTGTATTCCTGTTTTGAAGATATTATCTCAAATATAGATTCTAGGATATATGACAACATATTAATCCATGTAGTAAACAGATTATGCATCTATTATCCCAGACTCCTCTTAGAATATGCTACAAGACCGGTCTGACCACTGAAATTGTTTAACTGCACTATAAACACTGATTTCCTATGTGTATAAACCTAAAATAAAGATAAGTTCTTAAACAATCACAGAAAAAGATCAATAATGATGAACAATAAAATAGAATAATTATAACAATGGAGTATATAAAAATTTTGTTTTTGCTACTTTTGCTATTGGAGACTGTTTGTCAATAAAGAAGGATCACATGAATACATGTACTGCAGTAACAGTGCAGGCAATCCCACACCCAGTGACTAAAACATGACAAGGAAAACAGATCCTCTGGGCAGGACGGAGTACAATAGTCTCTGATTTCATCATGCTACAAGAGCATCAGACAACTTAAAATTCATTGTCTAGTTCTCAAACTTCCCACTTAGTATTTTTGGACCAAAGTTTACTACGGTTAACTGAACTGGTGAAAAGCAAGACCATGGGCACATGAGACCTCTTTACATTTAGCTTCATCAATTAAGCCATGTGAAAATTTGAGCTGTAGAATTATAAGATATTGAAAAGGGATAATTTGTTACCTATGTAGGATATCATTAGTATTCTATTAAATGTAATCCAACAGTTTAAAAATGTGTATGTACAATTCTTCACATTATCTATAACTCTTCCCTGAAATTGCTTAAAGCCCCATTAATCTTTGCCTTTCCTTTGCATCTTTAACTTTCTAGTAACTAACGCTCACAAATGTACAGGATTGACTGATTTGTTGAATGGCAATATGATTTCTTCTTATAAGATATTGCCCTATTAATTGAAAAATCTCTGGTTTTTAGCTTCATTTAAATAAAAATTTTAATTCATAAACACTCTTGCACCTGTTAGGAGGTATTATGCACAGTTTAAATAGAAAGTAGAGACAGTCTTAAGGAAATGAAAAGACAGATGCTCTCCAATTAAGGTGTAGTATTTATGACAAATGATGGTCCAAGTCTCATTGCTTCTGTCGCTTCCCACCTGTTTGACATAATTTTGGTTCTAGATCAGTATGTTTATTCTCTGCAAAGCATGTCAGAAGACCTTCCTTCCTTAGTATATCGTATGTTCATTTATGCTCACCAAATTCTATACCACAAATTAAAGCTGTGCTTCCTTCTGCATTTAATCTTATAGTTCCTGTACTCCTATTTGAAACGTGTCATTTGAAGATCAATCTACCACTATAATTCAGGACTTAACCTTTGGATAATAATGAGATAAAAGGGTATTATAGTTTAAACAGTGAGAGTCATGTAATTGTTTCAACATAATTTAGTAAGATATAGATAGAAATTTAAGTGTCAAAGGCACTGTGAGATACATTAATTTTCTTTAAAAGCTAAATGATTTTATTACCAATCTGACTTTTATATATATATATATATATATATATATATATATACACACATATATATATATATATTATACATATGTGCCTGTATGAACTTTAACAATGAGTAAAATTTATGGGGCAAAGATGAGAATTTCTGCATATAGTCCAAGAAAAGCAGTAGTAAAAGTCATGCA